AAAAACAACAACAGTAAGTAAGTAAGCAAGCAAGCAAAGAAACAAAAGAGAAAAGGGACCAGGTACCTTGTCAGAATGTGGTCTCTTGTACCATGTTCTTCAGTCTAGGCCCAGATTAGATCATACATCTTTCTGGAAATTCTGGCCCTTGGTTCATGTTTTCTACTCCAATCCTGTCAGGGAAAGAATGTCAGTTAGAGTACAAGTCTTAGGTAAGCAGGCAGAGAAAGGCTAAGTGTTTTGCCAGTGTTTAAACCATGTTTTTGGTGGACAAGTCAGGATTCCCAACCCCAGGCCATACTGTTTGTCTTGTACCTGCTGTTCCCTGTGCATCTGGCTAGGGGCAGGGTGTGGTTTCCATCTTCTCCCTGTTGCCTGAAATCTCCATTTTGGGATATCTAGCCATTGGTATTTCTGTCTGGCAACCTCCAACTCACCCTTAAAGTCCCTCCCTCCACCTGCCTTAGTAAGAACTATAAAAGGTTTTGAGTATTTAAAGGTCCCCTTCCTTTCCTCCATCCATATCCTCTGTGCATCAACATACCACAAAACCAAGGGGCCATGTAGGAGGTTTTCATCCTGCAGATTGTGTTTCTTGTCTCCCCCTTTGGTCTCTCCACAGGTTCACCGCTATGTTGTCCACCTCCCTTCGCCGGGAAAAGTTTATTGATTCCGTTATATCCCTCCTGAGGACATATAACTTTGATGGTCTCGACCTATTCTTCTTGTACCCTGGACTAAGAGGCAGCCCCATACATGACCGGTGGAATTTTCTCTTCTTAATTGAAGTAAGGCCAGTGTGGCAGCTCTCGAATCCAAACATGTGTACACATAAGAATAATGTGCATGCAAAGGAATCACCTGGGGATTTTGTTAACATGTAGATTCAGTGTATCTGGGTTGGAAAAACAAGTTCTCAGCCGGGGGTCGGACAGGAGTGAACTGGGTTGAAGTCCTGGTTTTATCCTATCTGGGCTCATAGCAAAAGAGGAACATAAACAGGGGCAGGGGCAGGAGAGAGGTAACAGAATGTTCCTTTATTGCCCTCACCTTAGCGGCATTGGTCAAAGGAGCAGCTGAGCATGTGTGCTATGTCTGCATCCGGATCTTGGTCCAATTGTCTAGCCTAAGAGATGTCTTCTCTGAACAGCCTCCTGAGCGTCCATAGGCAATGTCAGTCTGAATCCTATGCTTGTTGTTGACCAGACCATTGTGATCCACTGGGTTTTCATTGGATGAGTTTTGGAAGTAGATGTCTAGACCTATCCCTCTAGTCCATCTTAGTCTAGGATTTCTGTTGAAACTTGCTCAACATCATAGCAATATGCCAGCCTCCACTGACAAATGGGTGATAACTCTGCACGAAGAGCATTGATGGGGAATCTAACACAGGTCTCCTGCAAAGATGGTGAGAATCCTACCACAGGACCATCACTAACCCCTGTGAGTCTCTCTTAAATGACTTACCATGTTGTGCCATGTCTGTCCTCTCCTGAGCGTTACTCAGAACCTGTGTGGGAGTCACCTTTACATTCCAGAACCTGGCTCAAGGGGCTCAGGAGTCTACTTGTCTCTCTGCCTCTCTCTCTTTCCCTGACTCTGTTTTGATTGATTCTCTGGGTCTATCTCTCTCGCCTTTTAGGAGCTCATGTTTGCCTTCAAAAAGGAGGCGATCAACAACTTTCACCCAAAGTTGCTGCTCTCTGCTGCTGTCTCTGGAGTCCCACACATCATTCAAACATCTTATGATGTTCGCCTTCTAGGAAGGTGAGTGGATGCTGCCTTGCTGGGACAGAGCATTGACAGGGAGGAGTCAGATCAACAACCTGAGCTCCAGAACTGCCCAGGCATTGTCCCTGAGCACCTCATATGCTTGCTCCCATATATAAATGTAAGTGTGTGGGGTGGATTAGGAGGGTGGATGGGGACAAAGATGAACACTGCCTTACCCCATGGGGCTTTCTATGGAGATTAGAGGGAGATGATGTAGGATCCTCCCTCCTGCAAGATCAATTGCAGGGAGAATCTCTGCTGGGACTCCCAAAGATGGAATCCCATGGTGCTGGCCACTGCTTATCCAGACTTCAGGCAGCAGGTGGCTGCCATAAGAGGGCTGTTGTTGTTAAGTACAGTTGAGTTGGTTCTGATTCAGCAACCCTGTATAGGGCTTCTGAGGAGTGGCTGGTAAGCTTGAACTGCCAATCTTGAGGTTTAAACTGACCTTGCAGTCCAGCACGTAACCCACAGTGCCACACCAGGACTCCATAAGAGGCATAGATGAATTAAAAATCACTACTACAAAATAAAAAATTGTAATGCCTAGTTAGTCCTAGTTTACAGAGCACAAGTCTCCTTGCAAAGATGATGAAACCAGACAGAATGGCTCATAAATCTTCCTGGACACACTGGCTCTGGGCTAATATTTTAAAATGTCAGGAATCAAGTAGTTAGAAAGGAGAAAACTGTTGGGGATCCTGAACAAAAGAGTGGATGGGATGTCCCTGTGTGGGAAGACCCTAGGGCAGGGGTGGGGAACAATTTTTTTTTTTTTTTTTGGCCAAAATTTATAACATCATTCATGGACCATATGAAATTATCAACTTAAAAATTAGCCTGTTATAGTTGTTCAAACATTTAGTTAACAACAACAGTGTGATGGCGGGAGTTCTGGTGTGGTGCTGTAGGATAAACAACGAGGGCACTTAATAATAATGTGATGGCTGGAACTGCAGTTGCCTTGGCAGGACCAGACCCAATGTTTTTGAGGGCCTTATTCAGCCTGCAGGCCAGATGTTTTCCACCTCTGCCCTAAGGGAACTGTTTCAATGTGGGAGGAAGAGGGTACATAGCATTAATGCCGTGTAGAGTTTATTTATGCTGGTATTGAAAGGACGCCAGATTGAGGGAGCCCTGCCTACACCTAGCTCGGTGGCCTCAGGCAGATTAATTAAGCTGTCGGAGTTTCAACTTCTTTCAAGTAGAGATAGTTATAGTACTTACCTCATAGGACATTTGCCAGATTAAAATGAGATAATCAGTTTAAACTCTTATACCTGTCACCTGGTATGTGCTCGATTACATCTGGTAATTAAGAAAGCAAGAAGGCCTGGTTCATTGAAAGTTGGCAGTTTGAATCTGCTCAGCAGCCCTACAGGAGGAAGATCTGGAAATCTGCTTCTATACAGATGGAACCAAGGCAGTCTTATGAAGCAGTTCTATGCTGTTGCCTGGAGTTGTTATGAGTCAAAATCGACTCGACGGCATCCAGCAACAATGACTACGGAAGTGTTCTGGAGGAGATGGGTTTCAATGGTTCCTGGAATGGTAGAACTGAGGTTGTTTCAGTGCTATGGGACTCTGTATTCCAGTTGATTGGACTATCCTTCACTCTTACCACATTGCTAATTTCTAATCATTCTTTGGGATGTGGTTCAACTCTTCTGTCTTTATTAAGGAATCACCTTCCCTGATTCTCCAAGACAGAATAATACTCATGTGGCTCTGGAGTCAGACAATGTATGCAAACCTATATTAGCATCTGCATCACCTATATCAAGCCTGATTGTAATTGTTTTCTTGTCTGACCTCAGCTTAGGTTATGCATCCTGATGCACAACTATCCTTAACCAGAAGTTTGTGCCAATATCAACATTTCAAGTGGCTGCACAGCCTGGGCACAGCCTGGGGCCCCACTGGCAGAAAGGGAAAGAAGGTCACTAGGGTGACCAGTAGACATTCTGTGATGGTGTTTCTGTGATGATCTCTTCCTCCTGTCCCTTACAGATGCCTGGATTTCATCAGCATCTTGTCTTATGACTTCCATGGGCCCTGGGAAAAGTTCACAGGACACAATAGCCCCCTGTTCTCTTGGCCTGGAGACTCCAAATCATCGGTAAGAAAAGAAAGATCTCAAATGGCGCAGTTATCTGCTCCTGATCCCAGATGATTGGTTTTTAATAATAAGGAGGGGTTTGTGTTTTTCCTATTTGCAGGCATATGCCATGAATTACTGGCGAAAGCTTGGGGCACCCTCAGAGAAACTCATCATGGGGTTACCCACCTATGGACGCACATATTGTCTCCTCAAAACCTCTGAAACTTGGCTGGGGGCCATGGCCACAGGACCAGCACCTCCAGGGAAGTACACCAAGCAATCTGGCTTCTTGGCTTATTTTGAGGTGATGGGAAAGGGCCTCTTCCCAACACGGGCAAGGACAAAGTTAGGAGCAAGAGCTAGGGTGAACCCTAGAGACAGGGCTAAGATGGAGTTTTCTAGGGCAAATGAAACCTGGAATATTCTCTTTTTCTTTAGGAGAATTATTTGAGTTATTTGTGAGGGATTGGGTTGTGAGGGGGACAGATGTTCCACCTTTCAAAGGATCTAAAATGTTTTACAGGTAAATATTGACTCACTGTATGGTCTAATCAACAAGCATTAATACTTACAATGCATATAAAAGTACTGCTGTATTTCAAAGACCAAGCTTCAGTGATTAGCAACTTATGACCAATCTTTATTTCATTTATGCTTCCCAACTCTCTCTCTCCTCACTACTAGCTCAGTTTGAAGCAATTCCAAGACATCCTGTACTATAGCTTCTTTCTCCTCTACTCCAGTTTGACCCCCTAAATCTCAATCTCAGAAAAGTTTGCTATTGAGAATTGCTGGGCCTAGAATTTCAGAATCATGATTAGTTGGCATAACATGTTCATAAAGACAATGGTCTATATTCTACTTTGGTGAGTAGCACCTGGGATCTTAAAAGCTCATGAGCAGTCATCTGAGGTGCAGCTATTGGTCTTTCCCTATCCAGAGGACAGAAGAGTGATGAAAATTGAAGATGCTTGGTAACAATAAGTCCAGTGGACTAATGGACCATGTGAACATTAGTTTCCATTACTTTGAGGTAAAAAAAAACTAGATGGTGCCCAGCTGCCACTACCAACTGTTCTGAAAGGAATCACATTAAAAGGTCTTGGATAGAATGGGAGGAAATGTGTAACAAAATTAAAATTCATCAAAAAGACCAGGCTACTGGCCAGACAGAGACTGATGGAACCCAAGACTATATGGTCTTTGGTCACCCTTCTGGTCTGGAACTGAACTCACCTCCCGGGCTCAATTTTCAGCCAAGCAGAAGATAGGGATATAGTGGGGGACAACAGCACTAATGAGACAGGCACACCATAGAATTGTCAACGATTTGAGATTAAAAGGGCAGCATTCACATCAGTACAAAATTCAGAAGATTGAGGATTGAGAACTACTGGGAGGAAGTAGAATAAATGGTGTTACATTGAGAGGATTGAGATGAAGTGAAGTGTAGGATTTGTTGAATGTAAAACTGATGATCTACTCTGCAAATCTTCACTCAATTCACAATAAAAAGTTTCAAAAATCTTGCTATTTAGGAAGGGAATATAAAACAAAATAGCAGGCAATAAGCAGTGCAAGAATGTTGCAGGTGGCTGAAGAGATATGGAAAAATCCACTGGGAAGCTAGATTTTGAAACATAGGAAGGATTCTGATGGACAAAAATGACAGGATGGGAAAGATTTCCCAGGTAGAGGTGACAGCAGACATGAAAACACAGGGTGTGTAGGGGATGCTAGATGAAAAGCTATATCCTTACCTTAGACTACAGTGGTGTAGGTGAGAAATATTTTTCCAATGTTAGTTCTAGACGGATGGAGAGGTGTTTTCTGCTAATATAATGAAGTATGATTATCACTGATGGCAGAGCTGAAATAATGGTATTGAAGCGCATTTTGGTTCAAAGAGATCTTTATAGGCAGAATTTTTAAAGCACCAAAGAAAATGACATAGACATTAATTTCTGCAGCACAACTCGAACAACTCTACTTGTTTATAACCTATAACAAAGCTTTTAGTGCAATGCTGGCCACACATGTAGAACTTAAATGCTCAATTGGTATTGATAACCTAGTCCCTGACTTTAAGACCTTTAGAACTATTAGAGATGCCAAAGCTAGACTGAGAGCTACCTATATGAGGAAGTTTATGCGGAGGTCTAATCAACAGAGAAGAACTTATTTATGAAACACTTAGAAAAACAATACAAATTTGGTCAAGGATCAGGTTTGTTACTGCTAGTAGTTTTGTATTGGTATCATTTACTAACCCCCGATGTAGTTTCTTAAGGATATCACCCACTTCTATGTTCTCTAGCTCATGGACATTATAGGAAGGAATATAGAATGTTAGGAATTTATTCAGAAAAAAAGGTCATTGAGTGATTTCTCCTTCTTTGGTTTACCTTCTTCTCACTCCCTGGCGGGGGATTCTTGGTCTCTTTATCCCTAGGAAAAGAATAAGTGTGTCTCTCTCCATGACATTTGATGGGACTAACTTTATGATCCTTCTGGCAGATTTGCAACTTTGTTCAGAGAGCGAAGAAACGCTGGATTGACAATCAGTTTGTCCCATATGCCTACCAGGGGAAGAAGTGGATTGGCTATGATGATGCTTCCAGTTTCAGTTACAAAGTGAGATCCTGGTTCTTTCTTGTCCAGTCATATAGGCCCCTGGTCTGTACAATATGCGTGTGTGTGTGTGTACTGGGTGGAAGGCAAATAGGTAAGGATGATTAAATTAAATGAGTTTTGAACACACCTAAATTTTCTTTTTACCTGGGATTTCAGAATCCCGCCTAGTCCAAGTCTCTCATTTTGAAGGGAAGGAATCTAGGTGTTGAGGTGAGAAGTGACTCAGTCCATACAGCTTGTTGGTGACAGTCTGTTCTCGTCCATTTGATCAGATGGTTTCATAACAGGTAAATGCTAAAACCAGGTAGAGCATGCTGAGTATTGAATGAATGCTTTGACATACGGCAAAGGCTGGGTAGTCAGGGCAGCCTTCTGGAGGGATGTGAGCTGGAGGAGATGATGACCTGGGAGAAGGCCGAGTGTACACAGGACGCTCATGTTGGGTTCAAAGAAGAATTTGGGTGGACAGAGGCTTTTTATGAAGTGTAATGGGAGGCAACAGAGAAAAATGTAGAACAGTTTTAGTTGAATGTGTTTGCTTGTCATCAAGATGCTATTCTTGTTTTGTTTTGTTTTTTCTGTCAGGAATAAACAATGTGTTCTCTAAATCCAGAGAGGTATGTGTGTATATACATATCATATAAAACACACACAAACATATGAGGGTGAGTCAAAAATTATCTGCACTCTGGCTTTGTAATTTATTTTAATCAACTTTTAGAAAAGACAAATGTATTATTTTTCGACACAGCCTCCTAGCTTTTCAATACAATTTATCCACCTGTCAACAAGCTTTTGTATTCTGTTATTAAAAAATGTTTTAGGCTGAGCTGTGAGCCACAAAAACACCACTATCTTCACTTCATCATCAGGAGTGAACCTTTGTCCTTGAAGGGCTACTTTCAGGAGACCAAACAGATGGAAGTACAATGGAGCAAGATCAGGAATCTAGAGAGGATGTTTAACACCTCAAAATGAAGCCTTTTTTTTTTTTTAAAGTTCATGTTTTTTGTTTTTCTTATTGTGAGCTGAGTGATAGTTTACATGGAAGAACATTGGCTTTACAGCATCATTTAATTGCAATGATTACATTCTCCTC